GGAAAATGGCTGAGACCTAAAAAAACGTTTTTAAACATTTGCAATCCAGTTTGTTGAGTGTATCTGTCCTTTGATTCATCTACTTTATATTGAATGTCTACTCTGTGTCAGGTACAGTGTTGGGCACTGATGATTTAGTAGTAGAAAAGAAAAATAAAAATGGAGTTTATAGTATAGTAGAAAAGACGATAGTAAACTCTTAAATTTATAGTATAGTAGAGAAGACAATAGTAAACAAGATAAAAATGTAGTAAATGTATCACTGCGTATTGTGATAAGTTCTGAGGAGGAAAAGTAAATCAGACAAAGAAGCCAGGTAGTGTTCAGGCAGGTGGAGGAGGTGGATGGGATCTATAATTTTAGATAAAGTGGCCAAGGAAGTTTCACTGAGGAGATGGCATTTGAATAAAGACCGGAATGAGATCAAAGATGAATAAGTCCTCGAGATATGCTGTACAACATTGAGGCTATAGAAAACAATACTGTATTTTGACTTAAAAATCTGTTAAGAGGCTAGATCTCATGTTACATGGCTACAATTTAAAAACAAACAAACAAAAATGCACTGGGAAAAAGAAAGACTTGAGGGAGGAGGTATGAGAAGCAAGTAAAGTAGGTATTATAGGTACCGAGGCTTGCACTGGATACCATACAGCACAAGATGAATAGTGTTAATAAAACTTAGCTGTGATAATAAAAAGTAAGTAATAAGATTGTATTAATAAAACTTAACTACTGGAGCTGAAAAGTTACCTTTAATTTTAAAAATTAGACCAAATCCCCAAGATATTGTTTCTTCAATATCTTAGCTGTGGAAAATGGAAAGATATTCAAAGCAACTTCAGACGAAGACTTCTTTGAAAAATGGTAATAGTGGAGATATTAAGTCTCCACGCCACAGTGAAGCTTTATAAAAGCGATCATCTGATTACACTAACAGCTTCCTGAGGTATAGAAAAACCTAAGAAAACAGCTCTGTGTCAAAGCGCTAAATTAATTTCTGAAAAATATGGTTCATTTGCTTTCCATCAGCCATTTATTGTGGTTTGCCACTTGCCTTTGTAACTTCTTGAAACATAGATAAGAAAACATTGAAATGCAAATGCTCTTTTATTCAAAATAAGTGGCACACTCCAAGATCTCAGTCTTGTCATAACTGATTTGCAAAGTCTGAGTTTGATGAAACATCTTTTGGGAACTATTTCGGTCCCTGAAAAAGTAGATAAGAAAGGCTATCGACTGGGCACCAAAAAAGGAGTATGATAGCAAACTCATCCCTGTAATTTGTGGTAGCTATTTATTGGTGAAGGTCTAGAATCCATGTCTTAGAAATGAGTATACATTTTAAACAAACTGTATAATATAGCAAGGTGCACAAAAAGATATACATTTACCCCTTTAATCACCATCTACTTTATTGTACAGAGTCTTCCTAGTACCCTGAAAAGCTACTCTGTTGACCAAGGAGATAAAAGACCAGTACCCTGAAAACTGAGACATTGATGAAAGAAATCAAAGAAGACACAAATAAATGGAAAGATATTTTGTACTCATAGATTGAAAGAATTAATATTGTTAAATTGTCTATAGTATCAGTGTAATCCTAATCAAAATTCTAATGGCATTTTTCATAGAAATAGAACAATCCAAAAATTTGTATGGAACTACAAAAGACCTCAGATAGCCAAAGCAATCTTGAAAAAGAACAAAGCTGGAGGCATCATTGTCCCTGATTTCAAACCATGTTACAGAGCTTCAGTAATCAAAACAGTATGGTATTGGTATAAAAACAGACACATAGATCAATGGATTGGAATCGAGAGGTTTGAAATCGACCCACACATATATAGTCAATTAATTTATGACTAAGTAGCCAAGAATATACAGTGGGGAAAGGACAGTCTGTTCAATAAATGGTGTTGGGAAAACTGGGCAGCCACATGCAAAAGATTGCAGCTAGATCACTCCCTTACACCATACATAAAAAGTAACTCAGTGAGATCAAAGACTTGAATGTAAGACCTGAAACCATAAAACTCGTAGAAAAACACAGGCAGTAGGCTCCTTGACATCTGTCATAGAGCTAGAGTTAATCAGAGGGTAGTTGTAGGTCAAGTTTTCTGGAATTTTTCTAGCTTCACCATCTGTAACTACAATATTAGTCTTATAATACTTCTAAATAGTTCTTTTACAGGTACCACCACCCTCGTTCCAGGAACCTTATATCAGTTATTCTGTTTAACATTTACACATTTCAACTTATTTTTTTGGAAATAGTAGCAACCGTTAATGAAATTGCCATGGATAAATATACTAAAAATGATTAAATTACACACTTAATTTTTTTGTTTTGCTTCGTAAATTTTTTAATTAGGGTATAGTTATGAAATTAGTGTCAGGTGTACAACATGGTGGTTGAACATCTAATATACCTTACGAAGTGATCACTACAATAATTCTAGTAAGCTCCGGTCACCATACATTTATTACGATATTATTGACTATATTACCTATGCTGTACATTACGTCCCTGTGATTTATTTATTTTATAACTGGAAATTCATACCTCTTAATCTTCACCTTTTCACCCCTCCCTTCTGGCAACCATCGGTTTGTTGTCTGTATCTATGAGCCTGTTTCTGTTTGGTTTTGCTTGCTTGTTAGTTTTGACCTTCAGATTCCACATATAAATGAAATTATATGGTATTTGTCTTTCTCTGTCTGACTTATTTCATTTAGCATTATACCCTCTAGGTCCATTCATGTTGTTTTTTATGGCAAGAATTCCATTGTGTGTATGTGAATACACATATGTATATATTATATCTTCTTTATTCATTCATTTGTTGATAGATACCTAAGTTGTTTCCGTATCTTGGCTGTTGTAAATAATGCTGCAGTGAACATAGGGTGCAGAGATCTTTTTAAATTAGTGTTTTTGTATAAATGCCCAGAAATGGAATTACTCGGTTATATGGTAATTCTATTTTTAATTTTTTGAGGAACCTCTGTACTGTTTTCCATAATGGCTGTACCAATTTATATTACCTCCAATAGTGCACAAGGGTTCCCTTTTCTCCACATCCTCGCCAACACTTGTTTGTTTGTTTGTTTGTTTGTTTTTGATTTATCGATGATAACCATTCTGACAGATGTGATATCATCTTGGCTTTGATTTGCATTTTCCTGATGATCAGTGATGTTAAACACCTTTTCATGTCTGTTGGCCACTTGTGTGTCTTTTTTGGAGAAATGTCTATTCAGGTCTTCTGTCCATTTTTTAATCAGATTGTTTTTCTGATGTTGAGTTGTATCAATTCTTTATATATTTTGGACATTAATCCCTTATGCATATCACTTGCAATACTTTCTCCCATTTGGTAGATTGCCTTTTGTTTTGTTGGTGGTTTCCTTCACTGTGCAAAAGTTCCTTAGTTTGATAGAGTCCCATTTATTTATTTTTGCTTTTGTTGCCTAAATTACACATTTCAAAGGGTGACTTTTACAGTAGTAAATTATTTGCCATAAGCCTGTTTAGAAACAATCAAAACAAGAAGACTTGGTTAAAAGTTCAGAGACCAAAATTCTAGGCCTCCCTGTTCCATAAAGTAGCTATTTATTCAGTCAGTAAGTATTTGAGAACTCGTAGGCATAGGAAGTCAACTAGTAACTAAACTGACATGGTCCCAGTCCTCATAAAGTATTGGTAGCAGAGAGAGTGTGAGTGCGTGGGGCAGGCATAGGAAGGGGCATATTTAGAAAGGACAAGCACATGCCTGTAGCCAAGGACTTAACAAAATGTCCTTATGACCAGAGGTCAGACGGGGCAGGGCGTAGAATGAGACGAAAGGGCCGGCTGTGTGGGGAGGCAAGTGAAGGAGTTCTGTCCTGTTCTTTTCAGCAACAGAAAGCCATTGAGTTTTAAAGGCACAGGAGTGGTGGCGTCATAGTTGTGTCTTGGAAAGATGGCTTTGGCTGCATTACAAAATTATGAAGTACGAAATGTGCAAGAGTGGAAACCAGGCCCACTCGTTTGGAGGCTCCAGTTTTGGTGAGGGATGATGGAAGCTTGGGATTAGTGAGGGACAGGGAGATGTGAAGATAATCCCTAGATTTCTGGAGTCCAATTTTGAAGAAAAGAGGATATTTTAGTAAACCGAGTTTTATAGACTTGTTGGGCAGGGTTTTTCCAAATTACCCTCTTACTGACTCATTTTTAAAGTAGTATAGATTGCAAAAAAACAGGAATGAATAATCAGGCATATTTTCATATGTAACAGTTGACATTGTAATCTTCACTTCCATTATTATTGTCACTTTTTAAAATGTATCCATTTGATTCGTCATATTGAAATTAGACTGAAGGGATTTATAACTTCGGTAATTTTAATTGCAGTATGTTTTGCTTTCTTATGTTATCTCTGTTTTCAACAGAAACTGTGATTGTTTTTTTCCCCTCAGTATTTGATTTTCATCAAGCAGCTGATGGTATCCAGGAACAACAGAGACAAGAACAAGCAGGAAAAAAGTATGGCGTTTGTCTGTGCGTTTGTTTTTGGTGCAGTTGAAGCATATCTAGACCCTTATGTTTAAATTCTAGGCAAGGTTGAAGAAAAATAAATATTAAAATATCCAGTTTGAATTTCAGAGAAAATCAATCGGATCGTGTAAAATAAGTAAACTTAAAGGAAATAATAGCATAAATAGAAAATAGTCATAGTAACGTCCTTCTGTGTGCTCTCTGACCGCAAGCACTGCATCTTTCTTGTCTAACTCAAAGCTTGTTTTGATTTATTTTTAAGTTTGGGTACCACAAAAAAGGGCATTGGCCCAGTTTATTCTTCCAAAGCTGCCCGGAGTGGACTCAGGATGTGCGATCTTGTTTCTGACTTCGATGGCTTCTCTGAGAGGTAACTCAGTTGTGTTTCAGAACGGGAGGAGCAAACGGATTTATTGAATTTTTAAAACCCGGGACACATTAACTTCATGAAAAGTAGCATGATGGTATTATCATAGCATCACTCCAAGAATTATATGAAAGCCAAAATTATACGAAAGGGTTGGAGTTTGGAATGGTTTGCTGAGAAGCAGGTGTTTCCGGCGGGGGTGGGGAGGGTGGGATATTTCGTGTATCATTTATCCACATGACTAATCTCCTTTATTAAATTTTATTTCTCAGAATGTAACCTAAGTTTGGGGATTAATTTGTTATTAAGATCACTTATCTATAGAAATTATTTGAATCAAATGATATTCAGAATATTTTTAAACAGAGCTAACGTCTTGATTTTTCTGTATTTTTCAGGTTCAAAGTTCTGGCTAACCAGTACAAATCCATATACCCTACTTTGGAAATAGACATCGAAGGTGAATTACAAAAACTCAAGGTAATGCTTTTTACCTTTTTAATGTCCTTTTAAAAACTACTTTGCCAAATTGGCATCTAGATCTTTCATTCATGCAGGCTTAGTATTAGGAACTGAAAATACAAAAATGAAGAACATATGGTCTTTCATTTCCTTTATGGAAATTACATTGTGTCTGAGAAGTTATACATTAAATAGTTTATAGTATAATAAGTGCCTCACAGATATGTGTAAAGTACTATAGATAAGAACTGGTAAACGAATTTCTTGCCCTTTTTAAATCCTAAAAATATATAGACCTAAAAGGATATGGAATGTTTAAGTAACTTCCCATGACGTGGCTTAAACAAAATATTGAGTGGAGAGCAAGGAACAGGTAGTAAAGTACCTGAAAATAAAGTTAGACAAGTAGGGACCAAATCACGGGTCTTATGTTGGTCTTATTTGCAATGATAGGGAGTTTGGCTTTTATCTGGGAGATAATGAAAACCTTTTGAATAATTTTGAATGGAAAAAAGATTAGATTTGTATTATGTAAAAATCACTCATAGCAATGTGGAAGGTAATCAACAAAGCGACAGGTGAGAGGGGATGACTCTGAAAGCGAACCAGCGCGTTTGGGAGCGATAGCCCATAGGGTCAGTCTCTTTGGCACCGTACCCTGAAGCGGCAGACGAGGCCACTGGCCCACGGTTAGGCCCACAGTTAGCAGCTGTCAGGTGTCGGCGGTGCCTGAGCTGGTCAGTTGTCAGGTCTCCAGTCCTCTCCACCCTCCTGTTCCTCCACAGGCTTTGGTGAATTTCGGAACCGCTTCCTGTGTATGTGGTTATCACTCCTCTTCTATAAATAAGTATGAATGTCAATTTCAGAACTGAATAGATATTTACAAACCTCATATGCCATTCTGGAACGGTGGCAGACCTTAGGTCTATCCACCTACAAAATTCCTAAAAAAGAAAAAAAAAAAAAATGACCTCCAGAGAACATTCTAAATTGGATTTCAGTGTATTGATTGTTGCTTAGAATAGACTGCCATTTTCTTTTCATTCTGTCATGCAGCCAATATTTTTCATTTATTACTGGCAACTTGGAAATATTTATGTACTGAAGTATGGATATGGGCTTCCAATTCTATTTTATGCATATTCTATGCAAATGCAAAGCAGATGAATAATAATGAACAGAATCGGGCAAGAAGAGTCTTAATAGGCGATAGATGTTGAACCGGGACTTGAAGGGACAAGGGACGTGGTGAATGGTTTGGTCATTTCAGGCATAAAAAAGGGACTGAAACAGGAATAAGCATGATATCGGAGACTAGAGCCAGGAGGGGACCGTGCCTTCCACCGTGGATGTTAACACACTCAGGCGAATGCGTGAGCGGAACTCGGAATTTCCGTGACAGTCTGGCTGAATATTTAAACAGTCACGACTAGGTTTTATTGCAATTATCCTCTAGGCCTTGGGAGAACGCTTACTTATATTACATTTTTAATTGAATTCTAAAATTAAGTAGTATTCACATTTTAAATATGTTTTGAGAAAGTTTTATAATGCTATGTAAAATAGTATTTGGTAATACTGCTGAGATATTTTACTGTGACAATACAATGGCAAAAGAATATTATAATCAGCCGTTGATATTTGCATGCTTAGCAATGTCCCCTGTGGTCCTTACTACATTTCGAGAATTACATTTTGAGATGCAAATTTTTTAAAACTTATGGTTACATGGATTAGAAATTGCAGCCTTTTAAATACTTCACAAAATATACAAGCATAATGTAATATACTCAGTTATTTTTATTTTCTTGAAAGTTGGTTTATGAAGTATGAGGACTTGGCTATTTGCAAGGCTGTCGCCATTATTTGCAGCGAGGTTAATACCTTTGATTTTCATCGTATCTCTATCTGAGCTAGTGTCTCTCTTCTGGTTCTGGAGAATCGGGATGAAAGGCCGAAGGTAATCCATATGTCGCACTAGGCGGAGCACCATCATCTGCCCCTTTCTGCTTTGCTTTAGTCAGTTTTCACTGTCATAAAGTCGGGTAATTTTTACTCATACTGGTTATATTGTAAATGTATTAATGTACATTGTAATTGGCTTTTGTCTTCGTCTATAGGGTTATATGGAAAGGATTAAACCAATGGTGAAGGATGGAGTTTATTTCCTCTACGAGGCCCTACACGGACCACCCAAGAAAATCTTGGTAGAAGGTGCAAACGCAGCCCTGCTAGATATTGATTTTGGTAAGTGAGGTATGACTTACGGGGAGCTCAACTGAGCCCTAAAGTACTTAAGATATAAATAATTAATATTAGCATTAGGGGTTTTAAAAGAAGGCTTTTAGCTTGTATATGTATTTAGGAATGATTGAAGTTTGTTATCTTATACTAGTCCTTTTTTTTTTTTTTTTTTAAGGAATATTGTGGAAAGCATAATATACATGTTGTTTCATAGTTCGTTAGAAAAATGAAATCACTGTTCGAGTCAGTGGGTTTAGGATTCTCTAAACTGATTTTTATTGGTTCATGGTTCAGTTCCAGACCTCATTTCTGTAAAACGATTAGGTGAATCCTATGGAAGGATCCTTATCTTTAATTCAGCTTTTAAAAAAGAAAACATCAGGAAATAATATACATTGTTATTAAACACGGATATTCTAAAATCTGTGGCAGTCTGTTTCATTAACTCCTTGGGCATGAAATTCTGAGTAGGTTTAGAGCATTTTCTCCATCTTCAAAAATTAATGCTTAACATCTTCAAACTTCTGCCCCATTAGTTTATCGGCTTTTCCATCTAAACGGGGTCTCTATTGTTCCTATCTCTAATGAGTCCTATTGTTCTCAGCTTTTATCGACTTTTCATACTTGGCTTATGACTCCAAGTAAACCAATTAAAGTATATTTCTATCTGCTAGATATGTATTTTTTTGAGACGATGATTTCTGGAAAGAAAGCAGAGTGTCTAATTAGCATATCGAATAGTTTAAGGCGACCTCGTGTGTGGGGATGGGGCGGACACCACTCTTAGCCGACTCTGGTCATTTCTGGGGTTATTCCCCAAACAGACATCAAAAGGCAGGAAAAATGCTGCAAAACCACAAAATTCTTAGTGTGCTGTTGTCACTCTAGGTTGCTGCTGTACCTCATTTATATCAAGGGAGCGAAATAAATTTGTTTTAAACTAACAGGAGATGTTAAAGTACACAGATTATAAATCTCCATGGTGGAAGATCACTGGGGTTTTCGCATTAACCGGTTAGCATTCCAGTAGGTGCGTTCCTGCCATCCGGAGCTAAGTAGCTGCATGCACTCGAGGATCTGCTCTAGCGTCAAGCACTGCAGTCATAGCTCTAACCACGTCAGTACAGACAAAAAGAACTCAAGAAAAAAAGCATCGAAGCTTGGAGACAGTGGTTGTAGTTCTATTAAAGTCTGTCAGATACCTAGAATATTCTCAAATGTGCAATTTTCATAGTAATTCTGTTTCTAAATAATATATATTCATGCGTGTGTATTTTAACATTTGTTTCTACTTTTAGGAACTTATCCTTTTGTAACCTCTTCAAACTGCACAGTTGGAGGAGTTTGTACCGGGCTGGGAATGCCCCCTCAAAATGTTGGAGAAGTGTATGGTGTTGTGAAAGCTTATACAACTAGAGTTGGCATTGGTGCCTTTCCTACGGAACAAGACAACGTAAGCCTTATTTCTCAGTAAATATAATTCAGAAGTTTTAAAATAAAATTCATGCCTGCATCTCACTTAATTTGCAAAATCGATCTGAGCAACATTTAAAAATGTTTGCACACCTTATTGTCAGTGGCAGCAGACTGGCAGCAAGAGAGGAGGGATTAGAGGGTACTTAGAGGTCATTGTAATTTCAAGGCTAAAGGAAGGTGGGTTTAGGAAGGGGATTATGAAAATAGAAGAAAAAGAAGTTAAAAATGACAGCTACCTTTCACCAAGAGCTTAGGAGGAGCCAGGGGTGATGAAAATCGTCTCCAGACATTGCCTAACCGCAGCCGGCACTGGTGTGGTGCCAGCCTGGAGCCTGGCACTGTCTAAATGCTGTAATCTTACAAGCTCACGGATCTTCCCAACCGCTCAGGGAGCTGGGTAGCGTCACGGTGCCCATTCTGCATGTGAGGAAACCGAGGCACAGAGAGCCGAAGTAACTTGCCCAAGGCCACACAAACAGGGCTGGGATTCAGACCTCACAGAACAATGTGAACGTGATTGTAGTGACGTCAGAATGTAAGCGGTAAGGAAGCGACGGGTTTAATCCGTAATTAAATTAGGGGGTCGGTAGATCGTAGATGGGAGACTAGGGTGTAGGAAGTGGCCATAGCTTAAGAGGGCATTGTGATGTCAGCAAGTACTTATTAGATGCACGTTTGCCTTATGGTTTTCAGGAACATCCTCAAACTACAGCTGCTCTTGGAAAATTGCCTCAAGTTGTCCACTTTAATAAATATTTACTAACAACTTCTTTTTTAATATGCAGCATTTATATTTTTATGTGTTAATCTAAATTTTAGGATGTGATCTAGATAACATAAAAATATTGCTTTTAAACAAAATGGTAAAAAAAAAAAAAATGAAGCCAAAAGTGGATCTATTCCAAGTAATGCTTCCCTCACATAAAATCTGTCATCTCTGTGGAATTCTGTGTTCAACTTAGTTATTTTCTGAAACATATTGCTGTCAGAGAGACTTTGACTTGTTACATGATCTTAAGTATAATTCTGCTAGATTTACATCATTGGTATTCTAATCCTAAATTTCTATTTTCTGTTTCTTAGGAAATTGGAGAATTATTACAAACGAGGGGTGGAGAGTTTGGTGTAACTACTGGAAGGAAAAGAAGGTGTGGCTGGTTGGACCTCGTTTTGCTCAAATATGCGCATATGATTAATGGATTTACTGCGTGAGTATTCTTAGAAACATTTATTTCAGGAAATATAGGAAAATTCATGACCACAGGATACATTTTGTAGAATGCCAACTCGAAGCAGTACCCTAAGAGAAAAATGTCTCCCTTTAGCCTCTGAAGGAAATCTTAGTTCAAGGTAGAAGTGGGTGAAGGTATAGGAGAGAAGGGGACACAGGGGGAGGGACCCCAGGTTCTCTCTCTAGACCTCTAAGGTTGGAAGAAAGGAATCATGGTACTTTTAAATGTATGTATAAATGTGGAGGGAAGTAAGATGGGTATGTGGGTAAGTAGATGATCGATCAATCGATCGATAGGTAGGTAGATAAGTAAGTGCAGAGTATATGGATGAAGGGAGGCCAAATGACAGTGATTTGGTACATAGGCTTAGTTGGTGTCTGACTACTAGATTCAATTCCCAGATCCATGCGTTACGCTATGTGACTTTGGGCAAGTTAATCTTTCTGTGCCTTTTAAAAAATCATCTTTAAAATCTAGGGAGTAGTATTACCTACTCTATAGGTTTAAATATATAAATATATAAATAAATATATAAATAAATATGTTCACGTCTATATTAATTAGGCTTTACTTCTAGTGAATAACAGAATAAAGGCTAAAAAATGATTTATGGATGAAAATCCTAAACCTAGTGTTTTATCTAATTTCCCCAGATTTTTCCCTTAAAGCTCTGTTTTCCACTCAGTTTCTTGGGAGATTTTGATGTATCGTGAAAAGGTCTTTGATGTATGTTCCCCACCGTCCTTTGACAATTTCTGACCAAAGGGTGGAGGTGACGATAACCAGCGTGAAGAAATGAGGGTTGACGGCGTATGCGTAAACACGCATACGTATCCTGTGGTCATCCGTGGGGAGCAGTGAGTTCTGCTGTGTCCCACAGCCATGGGGCATCTTCACTCCAGGCAGCCCTCCCTCAGATGGGTGCCGATCATCAGAAAGCTAAGCAAGAGGGTGTGGGTCAATCAGTGAAAACCTATTACAGTTACTAGAAAAATAACTCACTAGTGGGTTAGTTAAGTCATTTTTTTATTACGAGGAAAATACATCAGTATATTATTCTCTTTTGTTTTATGCGTGACGTGTTTTTAAAACATCATCCTTTAAGAGTTTGCTGTTTTAACTTTGCCTTTTCTTCCAAAATTAGCTTGGCGCTTACCAAATTGGATATTTTGGACATGTTTACAGAAATCAAAGTTGGAGTTGCTTACAAGTTGGATGGTGAAATCATACCTCATTTCCCAGGTAGTTTTTTAAGGTTATGTATACGGACTATTACGAAGTGAACGTATTGGAGCAATTTCATGACGCCCTTCTGTATAATTTACGGCACAGAGCCACAGGCCTGTGTGCCCCCTGCAGGTATTTTCATCTCTTATTGGCACTAGTTTCATAGCTGCCATGCGTTCGGGTGCTGGACGGCAGAAGCGAAACTCAAAAATAGGAAGGAAGGAACACGATGCCTCCGAGCCCAGCTACGCCGCTCCTGAATCAGTTTCGTTGTTGTGAAAATAAGTTGTGTGCCGGCCTCCCTCCCTCCCTCCCCTGAGAAATGTGGGATGGAGAGAAGGGCCCCTGCTTGTCAGGACAGGCCGACCCTTAATACGCTGCCACACGAAGGACTTTCGGTGACTTCTAGTCTGTGTCTAAAGGGATGTAAGGAGGCTTCCTACGGGAGGCCGTGTTTCTTCAGGCGTATCTTTAGTTATATGATTGCTTTAGTTACTTGGAAAGTTCCATAAATGTTTCCAGCCTCCAGAAATAGGAACTGTTCATCGTTTAGCCACCCTGTGAGCCTGGGAATATGCCAGATGAAGGAATATTGACTAGCCTAACGAAGCTGGGTGGGCTGGTCGTTTTCGTGACTTGCCAGTGATGACCAGTCCTTGCGAAGTGTGGACAGCCGCGAGCGCTTAGAAACGTGTGGTCATCGTGTCATTCCGACACCGTGGCCTGCTCCAGTTTGGTTTGTCCTGACTCTGCTTTTCCTTGGTTGTTGAATCACTGTTTCTATGTCTAATGACTTTTGGTTGAATATTAGGCGTTGTGGATAATCTGTTATAGAGACTCAGATTCTGTCATTGTCTTCTGAAGAGTATTGTTTCTTGTTTTAGGGGAAAATTGAGTTACTGGCTAATCATCTTGAACTTAGATAGCCTGGTTTTATGTTTCGCTAGCAGAGTTATGTTTAGCAGCCACACCGCTGTGTAGCGTGGTGTTTCCCAAACCTCTCTAACCCGGTGCGAGTCAGTCTCCAGTTTCTGTCAGCTCCGTGGATCTTGGCAGAACTCGGTTTTAGGCTGCGTCGTGGGGGTCTGCAGTAGGTTTTACTCTAGAGTGTGGATTTACTTTTCAGGAGCGACCTTTCTGGTGTCTCCGCTGGAGGCCTGGGGAGTGAACAAGCTGTGCAGAGGCCTCTCCATTCTGGCGTGTCCCTTGCCTTCCAGCGTGTCCGTCCCTCCACTTCCAGCTGTGTGACAGCTGCTATCTGGTGATCCTCTGATGGTCTCGTTCTTTGCATGTGCGGTTGAACTTCCGCCACGGGACTTCCACGTGGACTTCTGGGGTCAGGGCCCCCTCTCTGTATTATGGCTCCTTCCTCTCTGACACTTGATTCCGGCTGCCTCAGCGTCCTTAAAATCTGGTATGTGCCATTTCAGGTCGGCGGGACCACTGTTCTCTGCTGACCGCCCTGTCCTGACTTCAGTGCTCAGGACGTCGTCCTTAGGCTGAGAGCTGAGTAGTTTTAGGACTTGCTTGTGTGTTTTGTGCTGTCCACGGCCTAGACAGAGTCGTCACGTATTTTGTCCAGTTTTACAGCTGCGTCTGCTGGGCGTCAGGAACCGTGTTCTCTGTCGTGGCTGGAACCAGAAGCCCCACGGAGTCTCTCGATTCTTCCGTTATCTGCCACGAGCAGTTCCGACACACCCACTTAGTGTGCTTCATCACTTCCTCTGAGCTTCCGAGGACATGCCTAGCAGTACGTTTTCATCATGCTTGGCTCGTGGCTCACGGGGGGCCCTCCCACAGCAACATACTCTCTTATCGGACTTATGTCCCACCACCTGCTGCACCCCGTGATGCAGCGCCCTCAGCACCCAGTTCCACACACGCTCCTTGGCTCCGATGGTACATACCGGCTCGGCCCTGTAGGCCCTTCGGAGGAGAATCCCTTCCTCCCTTAGCAGGCCCTTGGCCATAGGTTGTGACTTGACCCTGGGTTGTTTGCTGCTCGGGAAGAGAGGTCAAGGTGAGTCCTGGCAGGGGCAGAAAGGCAGAGGCCTCTGCGTCATCCTCAAGCAGGGGGAAGCCTCAATCTTCAATAGGAAGCAGGAGGCCATTCTGCAGGCCACCAGTGAATCTAGGGATTCAGGATTTTTGAGTGCATCAACCCAGCCATCCCACCCAAAGAGTCAGACTTCCCGCCTATTCCTCAAGCAGGGCTCGGGCCTTGGCATAGCAGACGTGAGAATTCAGCATTCTCTGGAACTCTGGTGCCTGTACGTTTGAGTCCCGAGCCTGATCCGCAGCTTTTTCTGCTGTAGAAGATGAGATTCTCCTAGATGCTGCTGCCCGAAAGCTTTTGACTTTCATACTTGCCTTAAACTGATGAAAGATTCTGCGTCTCTGACCCATCTCCCATTGTCTTTCTCCGGTTCGTGAATGGCATTCATCTAGAGCCATCGAATCCGTTTTTCCTTGTGCTTATTTCTGAATTTCCCAGATATTGCCGGTGCTGTGCGTTCCATCGGAACAGCACCCGAGTCACCTCCCGTTAAAGTCTTAACAGCTGCACTGTTGCAACATGCCGCCGATGGCCCTCACTGCCAGCCAGCTGGCCGCGCTCGAGCTCCAGGACCCCATGCTAGCACCTTCTTCCTCACTCCGCTCCTGGCATCAGCCACCTTAACGTGGTTGCTTTCCTTGGGAAACAGACCCAGATATAGAGTTTCGTGTGCAGGTGGTTTGTTCGGAGGTGCTCTGAGCAGCATCCGGGAGGGAGGGCCGGGGAGAGAAGCAGGACCAGGCACAGGGAGAAGTTGAACTGCAAAGCAGTTAAGCAAAAAGCCCTCGGCGGATCCCGTGGGGAGCTCTGGGCTAGAACGGCCCTTCAGAGTTGTCCCGAATTAAGTAACTGTCCAGGTCCCTCACACCCTCACACTAACAAGGCATCGGACCTGGGCCGCTGCAGGGAGGTGGCTCCCTTCAGTGGAGGGCAGTCCTTGGGGAGATCTGAGCTGGGAGTTGGCAGGCAGTGGGCAGCGCTCCCACAGCCAGGGCGTGCGTGTCTCGGTCCTGAAGAGGGGCGTCTGGGGACAGTGTGCATCCACTGTGCAGAGGGGATGCTTAGGTGAGACGATGAAAGCAAGTCTCCCTTAAGCTTTTGTGCACAGTCATGGAAACAACAGGTTTCCAAGACGAGAGCAAGTGTGCAGCCTCATTTCTGCGAAACTGCTGGCGCTTACCGACTCACAGTCCCCAATCCATGACGCAGAGATCTGAAAAGCTCTAAAAATGGGAAGTTCTAATTTTGGCACCAAAACTCACTTGACAGCAAAACCTGACTCGAACCGATGTGAGAACCCATAATCTACCTGCTTAGAGTGAATGATCCTGGGTTGCTGTAGAAATAGGTTCGATTATGAAATCCTACCCCAGGTGGTATATGCACTATTTTACCTTTCTAAACTCTGAAAACTTCTAAATTCCAAAACGCATCTGGCTCCAAGGACTTTGATTAGAGATTGTGAATCTACGCTGTGTCAGGAAGGTGTTTGACAGTGGGCAGTGTGCATCAGGACTAAATGTATTTACTCTGACTTGCAGCAAACCAAGAAGTCCTAAATAAAGTCGAAGTTCAATATAAGACTCTCCCAGGATGGAACACAGACATATCAAATGCAAGGACATTTAAAGAATTACCTGTTAACGCACAAAATTATGTTCGATTTATCGAAGATGAGCTTCAAATTCCAGGTAAATATAAACACTTTATGAACAACTATCTTTACTTTTCCTACTTTTAACTTAACTATCTGCCTTTGAAATAGAAGAGATCATTATTCTTACAATGCTCATGATTTACATAGATGCTCAGTTCGATATAAAAGACTTATCGCTTAAATATAATCAATCATCTTTCTTTAAAAGTTCTTATCCCTGAAGACAGTTGATTAGCTCTCATCCTTTTCGACCCTTTCTCAATTCTTTTAGTCTGTTTTTTACCCTATGACATTCATTCTTGTTTCTTTCTCCCTCTTAATAACAAATCCTTTTGTGTTTTTCCACCATCAAAAATGGTTTGTAGTTTTTTGGGTTTTTTTTTCATTTGAGTTTAAATCACCCTTGAGAGTTGGGGGAAGTTCACGAATAGATATTAGGAAATAATGGGTACAGGAAATAGGAAATCTGGTTTGAAAAAAATAAGAATAAAGAATAATACTTCTTTATTGAAAAACAAATGTAGGCTGGTCAGGGCATTAGGCATAACCAAGTTGTGGCTGTGACCAGTTATGTGAAGTCTTTCTTTTAACAAATTGCTTTTTTCTTTTTATTGACACTGATGGAGATTTGAGACACAAAAAATGAAGTGGGTGGGAGGTATCATCCATATAAAATCTATTATGTACTTACTCTGATTTCGTATTGTGATTCATTTGTATTTGTGGTCCATCTCAAACATGAATCTTGTTTTCTATATTCATCTTTCTTTAAAAGTTCTTATCCCTGAAGAAGCTGCCCCTTCTAGCTTGATGTCAAATTCAGTAAGCATGTTTGCTCACTCAGCTTAGTCAGTAGTTTTTGAAATATAAACAACAGTGAATTTAACAATGACGTCTGTAAAATACCATAAAGACTTACCCATGAGGTTCAGGTGCTTAGAGATGCAGTAGACTGCACTAGGCAGTTCCTAAGGCCGTGCAAGGTACAGCAGGATTCTCCTCCAGATCGTTCTGCCTTTTCGAGATAGAGAAGTTATCATGCACTTCAGTATCCTCTTAGCATCCTTCATTTGTCAAAGGTACTTTACCTTTTCTAGTTATTAGGAACTTGACCAAAGGTCCTTTAGGTCTCTGCTGGTTTGGGCCAATATTTTTCTATCGTGATTATTAGGAATTGAGGAAATGAAAATACATTGCACTTAAAACAGGAAACCGTAAGGCAGACCAGCCTCTGCTGAGTTGCAAGTGCACAGTCTGATGGTTTAGAAATTGGCACAACTAACAGTAAAGAACAAAAAGGTAACAAAAGGCACGTAGGGCAAAGTTCAATGTGACAGAAAGGAAGGGGAGGGGTCTGTTAACCCCAAAATGTGAACTTTTTTTTTTTTTTGATAAACCTGTGTCTGCTTCTCTAAATAATGATATTTTGATCTATATCCCAATTTAATTTTTCCAGATCATCTATAATTGATTGAGAGAAGTGAATTAAAATGTCCTACTATTTATTTTCCTATCTGTTTTTTCCCTGCATCTCCTGTAACTTCAGCTCTACGAATATTGTGCTTTGTTATTTGGTACATAGGCTTTCAACCAAAGTTTTTGAACATTTTAAATGAATTAGTACTATTCTTATACTTCTTTCTTCCCCTTTCAGTTAGGTGGATCGGTGTAGGCAAATCCAGAGAGTCCATGATTCAGCTCTTCTAAGGGTTCCCAGTGATGCAAGAAACACTCCTTGAAAAGGGGGGGAAGGACTTTCTTAAATATTTCATTTATGATCTACGGATTTCAAGAATCAAGACATTGACCTGCGTTGTAAGCCCTACCGTTGTTCCCAGTCTCATAGGATGGCTGGCTGGTGAGGAGATGACTTTCGGCCTATTCCAGTGTCAGCTTCGTTAGCTGCCATAATTGCCGAAATCGTTCGTTGCTCCTGCTGCTCATGGTGCCACATTTTTTTTTTTAACGTTTAGTGATGATATAACCTATGTTGTTTGAAATCTAAGATAGAATTACTTTCTGTGTAGTTTTTCTTCATCGTCATGTGTGTTCATAGGTTTTGCTTCTATTAAATGGTAAGAACAATTAATGCAGTTTTGCACAAATATTTTTACATTCTGATCATTCAGTTCTGTCATTGTAATCTTTGCTGTTAGAAAAAATGATGATAAGAGAGTTCTGTAAACTTTTGTAATGCTATAAATTGTTTAAATTGTGTACTGTTTATTTTCTGCTGAGACCATTGCAAATTTGAGCTTTGGCTGGGGGAGGGTGATGTAGTCATGGGTCCTTTAATTTGTACAGAATACAAAACTTATTTCTCTCTGTAAATTATTTAAAACATTGAACATTTAATTAAATGTTCGAAGAGAAAAGGTGTTTCCTAAAACAACAATCTTAATGTTAAAGATATAGTCATTAAAAGATCTATTGTGATATTTGGTGGATATTTTTCTTTCAGATATTAACTGAACCGTGTAGCTTTCCTATTTTATCATGCCATTATTTCTAAATCTAGAGAATTGATTTTTCAACATCGTGCCTGCCAATATGCCTACAAAATTTTCTGTAAGTCTCCAAATGAACCCAAATTGTTGGTCATGCTTTTATTTCTCCTTTCTTGGGAAAAAAAAAAAAAGGTATTGTTTTAACAATTAGGCTTAATATATTGTGTTTTTGATTATCCTTCAGCAAACTATTTTAATTGTTTAAATTAGGTGCCACTTAAATTTATTTTATTATACCATCAATAGCTGATTAAAAAGAACAAACTATTTCTAGTATGCTTTGCGTATTGTGTTTTTGTTCAGATAAGAGAATAAGAGAAGTTATAGTAATACTAGTATATGTAAGAAAGAGCTTTATGCCTGCAGTCTGTGGGGACAAAGTATAGAGGTCACAAAACGGAATCTTTGAAAGGATCCAAATATCTTTTTATCTTCATTAGATATATTTTATTAATTCTTAGTTCAAGAAAAATTTTAAAATAGAAGCAGCTTGGTTGGATTTAATAAAAAGAATAGTACAGATGATCTTACCACGCCCACTACTGATCAATAATGACCTTTGTGTAAAAATAATAATTTATACTTAATATGTAAGAAATAATTTTTATTTATTCTAATGTATACTTAATATGTAAGAAATAATTTTTATTTATTCAATGTGACAGAAATTGAATGGGCTTTTATTTTTCCTTACTCTTTCATCTTTGTATTTGGACTTCAAATTAGATTAGCTACCCAGAGATGAAAGCTCTATTAGAAGTAAGCATTTAAAGTCCACATTCTTATCTTGGCTATAAGCATTGTCTTATTTGAAACATTTTTAGCAGTGGTCCAGAAGCAGATAGAAAGAACCTATTCCCCAAGTCAGGAGTGTTCTTCTTTTTTTACCAAAAAAAAAAAAATACATACATATGTGTGTGTGTGTGTGTGTGTGTATGTATTATATATTGTATATATAATATATATTACATATATAGTACATAATATATATATTATATATTGTGTATATATATATAACTTTCCTAATGCTGTTGATAGACATTTACTCATTTTTGACCAGTTTGAATGATACTCTCCTTTTTTTCTTTAAGAGTGAGCTGTTTGCTGATGAAATTGGTTAAAAGAGAGGATCTGTTCTTCAGTTCAGTCTTTAAAAACCACAGATAACTGTTAAAGTAATAAATCTTTATTGGACAAGTATATATGGTAGGCCCCCCACATCCATGGGGGATGCATTCCAAGACCCCCAGTGGATGCCTCACAGCACGGGTGGTACCAACCTTTTTTCCTACACACACACACACACACACACACGCATGCCAATGATAAAGTCTAATTTGTAAATGAGGCACAATGAGAGATTAATAATAAAAGAGGATAACTTAAACAACATACTATAATAAAAGTTAGGTGGATGTGATCTCAGAATGCCTTACTGTGCTGTACTCACTCTTCTTGCGATGAGGCGAGATGACGCGGAGCCTACCTGATTAGACGAGGTGAGGCAGAGACGCTGGACAAAGGGCTGCGTTGTGGGCTGGAGCAGGAGTACAAGAGGTTTCATCCTGTTATGCAGAATGGCGTGTGATTTAAAACTTAAGAATTGTTCATCTGGCATTTTCCATTTAATATTTTCAGACTGCGGTTGACCATGGCTAACAAACTGCAGAACTCGAAATCACGGGAAAGCGGGGACTGCCGTCGCTGATTCTGCGAGATGTGATGTTACCTGCGACAACAGGTGCCGTGAAGGAGAACCTCATCTATATTTGGGAAGGGTCAGAGGAGGCCATTAGTAGAAATAGCATTTAAAGACCAAAAGGATGAGTAAGTCACAGGGACAATATGCAAAGACCCAGAAGCCGGAAAGAATTTGGAAAGTTGGAACAACTGAACAAAATGAATTGAGGGGCTGGTGAGTGAGTGAGTCTGATGGAATTAACAAGAAATTGGAGGAAGACTAAGCGAAACAACCAAAATGTGTTTCGTATGAAAGAAGAGGACTCATAGGCAGAATATAATACATATCCTCAAGGAAGCATAGAGAGAGCACAGAGAGATCGCTGAAACGAAAAACATGCACGGAAATTTTAAGATTTAGTAGATGGGAACCTGGATGGCAGAATGAGATACTTCAATGGGGAGAGGACCTTAGTGTAGATTTAGTGAATAAGAACGCCAGTCTTACAGATGAGTATATAAATGTAATGTTATTCTAATCAGAATTTCCATGGGGTTCTTTGTAACTGGACAGAATTATATTGAAGCTTAGGTGGGAAACGAATGTGCAAGAATTTCTAAGATATTTTTGAAGATAGAATGTGTTAAAGCTACTATAATCAAAGTATGATGTTGTCATGGGAAAGAATAAATACATAAGGGAAATGGACTAGACACATTCCAGAAATGTGCCATATTTGGGAACCAAATATAGGATAAAGATAACATTTTATTTTATTGGGAAAAGAATATATTAAAAAAATAAGGATAGCAAAACCTCTCAACAAAATATGAATTTTATATAACAAAAATGTACATTATAGAAGTTTTAAGTCATGAGAGTAATACAGGAAAATATATAATCTTAGGGAGAACCTTCTAAAGAAAAACTCAGAAGCCCTAAAGAAAAACGAACAGACTTGACCCAGATTAAACGTTTTTAAAATACTAAGAACAAAGTTTTAGGAAAACACACCTGAGAATAAAAAGCTTGGGAAAAAATATTTCAACACATGTCACTAATACGCAAACCATTGCCACAAATAAGAGCAGGACAATAGAAAGATGGGCGATATATCAATACATATCAGTCAATCCACAGAAAAACAAATGGCCTAAAACATAAAAAGGCATTCACCTTCCTCTATAGGCGGGAACATCTAAGTTAATACAATGAGATACCACTTTTCATCTCTCAGATTGATAAATATCAAAAGTAAAGCTTGCGCTACCAATGGTAAGGAGAAATAGGCACTTTCATATATTGCTAGCAGGAGTGGAGTTACTATAATTTGGAGGGAAGCAATTTGGCAATTTCTGTTACAGTTTGTATTTGCAAATCCTTTGGCCTACCAGCAATTCCACTACCAAAAAAAAAAAGCAGCTCGATTTCACATGTAATTGTATTACTGGAAGTATGTGAACATCCGTTAATAGCATACCATGGTCTTCTATAAAACCTTTAAAAAGTTAGATCAATACCTATTGATTATAAAGATGACTTTGATGTGTTGGCATATAAACACGAAGTTTTCTATAGTGTGGCACCATTGAGGAGGAGTGGGGGAGGGAGGAAGAACATTTGTGTTGGTCATAAGGTAGGAACAAGAAATATGTCAGGGAATATATCAAACGATGAACATTGGTCACTAGAAGATGACTTTGAAGTTTTCCTTATATATCTTTGTATTTAGATTTTTTTTAAAGAATATAATCTTAAGTATTATTTTTTTAAAATGAGTTTTAGCAGTTATTGAGAATAAATTGCTATTTCAAGTGCACTCGAACAAAAATATTCAGTGATTAATCATTTCGGAAATCCACATAATACATTATGGTCAGTATACCTCTGGGGAAAATGATTGGGATATTGGCATTTGGCATTAGTTTACAGCCTTGATCTTCCGAAACACTGAATAAACACCCAGTGACACAGATCAGAGGTTGTGAACGAAGGAAGAAAAACTATGCTTTCCCTAGATTCTGCAGTCACATAGTATATAAGCTAAGAGATGGCCTGATTGGAAAATTCTTCCAGAATTTTGGGGAAGAGAAGACTTTGTAAGTTGTTTGCCACTTTTTTTCCTCTAAAGGTTAAAGAACAGTTTATTTTTTTTACCATTTTTTTTTTTTTTTACCAATATATATCATTAGCCTAGATGTTAATCTAGGAAAGTACCTACCTTTATAGAATCTATCTGAGAAGGAAAATAAGATTTGGATCACCTTTATGCACAGCATCAATCCATCTGTCTTCCCTCAGAGACTTCTTGATCTGATTTTATTTTTATCAAAGTGGCTCTTAACTATGGTTTTTATTTAAACAGCTTTATTAGGGTATAATTTATATACCATAAAATTCACCTGTTTTGAGAATACATTTAGGCAATTTAGTAAATTTACCAAATTGTGTAACCATCACTATAATTCAATTTTAGAACATTTCTATCACCCCATAAAAATCATCTCTTGCCCATTTACATTCACTCGCTATTCCCACCCCAACCTCACAAATCTACTTTCTCAATAGAATTATCTTTCCTGGACATTTCGCATAAATGAAATTTTAATATGCGCTCTTTTATATCTGTTTTCATTTAACACAAAGTTTTGAGGCTGTACCATGTACTTCATCTCTTTTTGCTGCTGAAGAGTATTCCATTATGGATATACCACATTTTCTTCATCTGTTCATGGACATGTGAATTATTTTCAGCTTTCCCTCTTATGAAAAATGCTGCTATGAGCATTTGTGTGTGAGTCTTTGTATGAACATATCTTTTCATTCCTCTTGAATAGATATCTAAGAGTGGAATTTCTGGATTATATTGTACATTTATATTTATTTTTTTAAATTAATTAATTAATTAATTAATTAAATTTATTTTTTTAAACACCTACAGCGCCTGGTCCTCCCAGGTGGTCTCCCATCCGAGTACTAACCAGGCCTGACCCTGCTTAGCTTCTGAGATCAGATGAAATCGGGCACGTTCAGGGTGGCATGGCCATAGACTATATTTAATTTTTAAAAGAAACTTTCAAACTGACTGCACTTAACAGTTATCAGCAATGTATAAGGGCTCCTGTTTCTCCACATCCTCGTAAATACCCCTTATTGTGTGTCTTTCGATTGTAGCCATTCTAACAGATGTGAAGTGTAGTCATTTTCCTACTGTGACTAATGATGTTCCACCATCTTTTCATGGCTATTTGTATAACTTTAGTGACGTGACTATTCAAATATTTTGCCCATTTTTGAACTAGATTATTTGTTTTTTTTTTAATTATGAGATCCTTATATATTCTGGATACAAGTTTGTTTTTTTTTTTAAATCAGATATATGATTTGCAAATATTTTCTCCCTGTCTGTGGCTTGTTATCTTAGTGGATGGTGTCTTTGAAATGTAAAAGGTAAAAAAAAATTTTTTCTCTAAAACTTTAATCGAAGTTATTTGCCTCACTGCTAGTAAGGTGTACAGTTATTTCTCTATACCAGCATTCAAGGCCTGCCACTGGTGGCAATGGACTTTGAGAAAACCCATTTTCTGACACTCAG